GGCTATGGAAGCCCGAGCGGGTGAGCGCATCCTGTCAACAGTAGCCAGAATCTGCCAGCGAGAGATGAAAAGAAAATGAGAACTGGGCCTGTCTGCTTGACCCACAGAAGGACACATGCGCCCCTTATTTTATATCGTAGATCCCGACACCTAATATGTCGAGCAGTCTTCTTGCCACATGAGTCGCAAGCAAAACGTCGTCATCGGTCATCCGGATGTGCCGTTAAATTGATTGAGTTTGTGGGGAAATTATGGGGATCATCTTCATGATACCGCTTGTGGTTCTGTGAGTCGACCGGTCCTCTGAGTGCCGATTCCCGACAGACTCGATCCCCGCACATTTCCACACTGCTGCGGGGGGTTGCCGGAGTACATGTCCACAAAGGGTGTACATGACCGAGCAGGGACTAGTCCCTTGCGGTTTATGATCGGTTGCGACCGCCTCATAATCTCTTACAGAAAAATGCCCGTCCAGCGATCTCGGTTCTGGTGTTTGTTGGGTTTGGCATCTAACACACGGGTTTGGAAAGGTAGACACATTTGATAGTTCGTCACGTCAGCGACGATGATCAAATGAACTATCATCGGTTCTGGCCAGCATTATCAAAATAACCATCCGGTGTATACGGATGAAGCAAAAATCGGCCGAACAAGCTTTTTCAGGAGCTCTGTTCAAGGCACGATAAGATGCACGCTGACCAACCGTCATGCCGTATGCTGCCACACGCCCGCGTCATCCGCTCTCATGTGACGCGAAGCTTTCGGCAGAAGCTCACTCATTGGCTCACAGCCAGCTATCAAGGAGAGCGAAATGATGTTGGTGAAGCTCCCCACAGCCGAAATGAAGGACCGAGGTCATAGCACCCTTATTTTCCGGGTACTTGGAGAGGTACCTTTCTCTGGCTGCACACATGAAATGCCAGCAGTGCCTAATCAATTAGATGATCAATTAGGTAGTTCGGACAACCCACCGTGCATGACCTATCCCCAGCTTTTTCCAACATGTTTTTGTGGAGACGCGGAGATTGGGTGTTTGTGGGGAAAAGGCGGGGGGAGTTGCTGGGCTTGGACCCCGTCACTGTTGTGATGTTGTGATTCGCAGGCCGGATAAGACGTCTTCCGGAGAGGAGATCTCAAGGCCTCAACAACATCCTGTGTTTGGTCTGGGCACAGTATCTATCTTGATGAGGGATATTTGCAATCACCGATGCCAGGTTTGAGACAATCAATTGGCTGCATGGCCTGGTGGTTCCCCACGGGTCTCATCTCCCATCAGTTCAGTATCTCGTATAGACCCCACTCCCGAAGTCGCGATTTCCAGACCGGCCTTTGGTAAAAGTGACAGATATCTCTTGGTCACCTTGGGGGTTGTCAGTGGCAGCGTCTGTTGGACATTTATTCGTGCACCCTGGCTTACCTCTGAGCATTCTAATCCCTCACACTCGGCAAGTTATTGTCCGCACCGAGGAGAACTGATCATTAGCTGATGATTTTGCTCAACTATCGGTAGCCTCTTTGCCTTCATTTCAATCATTGAGAATTCTAGAAGGGGACGCCCTCGAGCATCCATCTGACACCCGGATGGAAAGCGGCAACAGACTGGCTGCCCTGTGATCGTAGCGAGTCACCACAGACTAAACGATTCTTGGATAATGTGCGAGAGCATCGGAATGAAGCAATTCCTCTTCCAACCAGGCGTACTTTTTTTCTTCCTTATACCATTATCATCAAGAAACCTCTGCCAATTAGTAGCTCTTATTGTTGGACTTTCTTGTTCCCAGTTAATGGGTAAGTCCCGGCATTTATCTCCGGACCCAATGTCGTGTGTTAGGCGTATATTTGATCTCATATGTCGGAATCTGATGGTGGAAATATCATCCGCTTATGCCAGACTCGAAACCCGAAGTATGACACATGATTTTGAAGGGTTATCTTCTTGTTGAAGGGCGGTTGCCTAAGGGTCACTCGAGAAACTCAGACTGAACATCTATACTAAGAGTTGCCTCAGAAGGTCAGCAAACCGAACTAACAGAGCGCATTCAACTCAACCTTCACTGCAGCATCGATGTGATTAAAATTGACCTTCTTGCTATTGATGAAGACAGCCCCTACGCTATCAATAGGACTCAACCTGACTATCGGAAGGGACAAGAGTTCGGCACAACTTCGACGTGTGGACAAGTGAAGACTTCAATTTCATCCAGGATTACTTTGTCTGGTTTTATATACCGTATGGTAATATGGTATCTTACAGAATCACGCAGGGGTGATGTATTGAATCTTCTGGTCACGAGAAATCGCTCTTTCCCCGCTCAAATACCTTTAGAGCATCCTTGACATAGAAGGTCTCCGTGACATTCGCGACAGGTGTATTGATCTATCTTCACTCGAAATTCTTTGGTCCCTCCAATCAATCCCTACTCGTGCGAGCCATCAGGCTATCTCTCCAAACACCTTCGTCGACTCGGTTAACGACAAAATAGCTTACTCCCACAATGGAGAGAACTTTCCCAGGAGCTGATGTGATCTGGTGGAACGCAACCTGCTACCATGTACGATGTCCATTTTGCGAAGCAGTTCATCGCCATCGGGTCAACTCGTTGGATTGGCAGGCAAACAATCTCAGAAAATCTCATTGCGAAACATGCGAGACATACTTCTGCTGCTTCCCCATGAATGAGAAAGGTGAGGTAGCCTATGAAATCAACAAGAAACGTGGTAGATACGTCAATATCTGTGTTTTAAATGACAGCGATAATGATGAGGGCGATGATGATGGCGATATTGATCAGCTGGCAGCTGATCTAGCTAAGGCTACTACCGCCGCAGCAGACGAAGAAGAAATTACTATGAATATCCCAGAAGATGCAAAAGAATTAGTCACCGTCGACTTAGGAGATTTCCCGCTTGACTTAGGATGCGACGTCCAGCCACTTAAACAGAAACGGATTGTCCAGTCTATCTGCGACTGTATTGCTGGGCACACTAAAGCGGTTCAAGAATACTTGGAGACATCTAGTGAGGTTCAGTTGTTTGTTCGAGGGCGGTTTCCCTTCAACGGTAAAACAACCCTCATTCGCGCAGCAGCTGAGAGTATCCCAGAGATGCTGTCGCTTCTCATCGAACACGGAGCAGATGTGAATTCTGTTGATAACGGCGGAAGGAGCGCTCTAATGGAGGCAGCGCTCTTTGGGCGGGTGAACAATGTCAAAGTACTCCTACAACACGGTGCGGATACCAATATCCGGGACGTCAAAAATCGACTGGCAGTTTATTTTGCTCAGGAGCATGACGAACTTCGAGAGGAAAGGAACGATCGTACTGATGACTATTTTGAGGACACTCCCAGAGCGGCACTCGATCGCCGGGAAATTGTTCGCCTACTTAGCGCAGAGAGACGAAAGTCAAAGACCGCTTTTGGAGAACCACCCACGTTATCGTTGTCTCGGTCCTATAGTTTCACATCATCCAGTATGGGAGAGCCCAACTCAACCGGGAATTTAATAGTATCTGAATTGGAGGAGACAGTAGCGCGACTAGAAAGAGGAGGAAAATTCCCGTCTGTTGCTGCTATAAGCCGATTGACAACAGTTCCTGGGCAAACTCTCAGTGTTGATGATCGCCAGTGGACAGATGATGTCTCTTACATTGCCAACATAGTGGGTCATCATTTTCCTTCCCATGACCATGATGAGGATATTGCCTGCCACGCCGAAAAGCAGTTGATAGCATATTTCATTGATCGCCACGTTTTCCTTCCACGGGATCTCCTGCCGGATCCGAAACTAGGAGAGGAATATGAAAGGACACAGGATGAGTTTGAAAGGTTCTATTCAACCACCGAGAGAGGACGGGAAGTGACTCGTCTCCGGAAAAGCAAGCGGGACTTGAAGTACGAGCTCATGTGTAAAACGGAAGAACTCGTCAGAAAAGACGATGAGTATCAGGAACTGGAGGCAAAACTCAGGGCTGTTGAAGCGATACTGAACCGACTGAACGCTAGTCCTCGCGCGCGATTATTGCAGAAGCTAGAATGCAAATTGGAGATACTAGATACGCGACGATGGAGACGTCGAGACCTGATCAGAATGGCTGAGGCACCACCGCTACCGGCTACTTTATCGAAGGCAGCCATATTGGTCAATAAAGCTCCTTGTGATGATTGCAAAGCGTTCACGGACAAAGTCAATGAGCACTTTGGAATATCCATACAATTGTTTGCAGCAGTTTGACCTCTATGAATTTCTTAGTTCCAGGTTCCGTAGGCCTGTGCATTTTAAGGCCTACCTTCTTACGTATGCTACAGTTTTATGCACTAGAATGATAGCAAGCAGTCTTTGAAGTACTCACTACTGTCTAATCGTATAATGGTTGGGGATACCGTATCTAGTTCTAGCATTAGCATACACCAGGACCTGAAAGACTAGGTATTCTACTGCTATATAGCAGCGAACTAGTGGAGGCTTTGTACTCAGTGAGTAGTGGTTCCGAGATAGAAATGACCTCTGGAGGAAGATATGCCTCAGGGTATGATCGTTGCCCTATTTTGCTGATCTTCCTGATCTTCCTTGTACGTAGCCGTCAGGTGACATGACCACCCCATGTCGGGTACTGCGATGTCCGTTTGCCGATGGATCGGCTGATCGCAGGTCTACACTATTTTGGACTATCGGTGAACATCAGCTGGGCGCAAGTGGGGCGAGCCTATAGCGTCTCCCCGCCCAGACATGCATCCCGAGCCCAGACCCTACTTGCCCCTCCAACATGCTTCATTCGAGTCCCGCCAAGCGCAACTATACTCCGATCTTCCAACTTGGCCTGCTCAGCTTGGCTGCCCCTGTGGCGTACGTGTTCTGTTCTGGGCTCGATATGAAGGAAAGGAAATGGCGATGATAATGTCAATTATGGTGTATCTCGATGAAGCCCGCATTTCAGGCAAAGTTCCTGGCAATTCTAACATGTACAAAAGTAAACTAAACCGAAAACAACAAGACTGTGAATCAGGCAACCTGTTGCTTTTCCACCCATTTCTCCCACCGGATAACGCGAGCGCCACGTGTCGAGAGGCGAAGTTCAACTTCACGCTCGATCTCCTGGGCGGTCTTTCCATCAGCATCGTAGGTAGAATGTGCGCCAGCCAACACAGTTACGTGGAAGCCAGCTGCCAGTGCTCCGGTACATGTTGCTTCAACGCATTTATCGCTCTGCAGACCGAACGCGACGATTTCGGTGACGTTGGCGTCGCGCAGCCTCTGCGCAAGGTCGCGGTTGGATTTGAATGTGTCCCCTGTAGAATGCAATGATGCGTTAAGCTATGTCCATTGACATCGAGCATAATGGGCACCGTACCTGTCTTCTTTGCAACCAAAATTTCGCCCTCTACATCCGCGCGGGGGTTAAAGACGAGCCCCCAGGGCCCAGTCCCCTTTACTAGGGCTCCGTCATTTGCGGACTCTTCGTGCTGAATGAAAACAATAAGTGGACTGTTGCTCTTTTCATTGGAGTCTTTGATGGAACGAGCCGTCTGTAAGATCTCTTCAGAGGCTCTAATGACGCGATCCGCCTGGGGGACGCGAGAGGTAGGATCAACGGCGATATGGTTCTGAATGTCGATAACGAAGATAGCAGTTCGAGGCATTTTTCAATGGGTATATTAGTGCTTTGCTGAAAAAATGACAGGGAATAACAACGTGGAGATTGATGGGATTGAAGAATTGACTCAAAAGTTGAAAGTTGAAGAATGTAAAGAAAGGAACAAAATCCGGCGAGCTTTGTTGCTCCTGAAGCTCCTGCACGTGTTGGACTAACTGGCAACTGACCCCTCCTTGGTCTGATTTGGGAAACAGCGGGGCATCAGCTGCTAGTGCCTAGTGGCGGGAATCATGTCCGCCTGCCGCAGGCTAGAAAGTACTTAGAAGTATCTAATACTGATGATCAATAATAGTTAACAGGTAAATCAATGTTCTTAGTACATTATAGTTACCTCTCTATAAGCTTGGCTATAAGGATCGCCTATCGCTAGCTTTGATACCCCGCCGGAATATTCTGACTTCTCCATGACTTGATCCATTTCATTTAGTGTGTGGCTTACCGTCATTTATATGTAGACCCCGACTTTGTATTTCTAATTCAAAAATTGTGGGTACATACACAGCATTTGCGCGGAGGTACCTAGTGGCCTCGGGCCTACGTTCAGCGTCTTGCGATACCATAGCCGATGTGGCATCAGTATCCAAGAAATGTGACTATTAAATATTCGCCCGCTCGATCTAGCTATAAGATATCCGAGTGAGGCATTATGTTTTCTTTTGGGATAACAAAAGTAATTAATGTGCTTCAATTACATAGCATTGGGAGAAACTAAAACCTCCTGCCACGTCTGCTTAACAACGTACTATGTTCCTTTCACTCAACATCATCATAACCTCATAGACCATCTGTTAAAGGCCTGTAGTCGTGGAGCTACAAGGTATTTGACGTGGAAAAAATCCAATGTATAACTTCAGCTCAGGTGGCGGCCTGCTTCATTCGCGTCGTCAATTCCGGCTACTTGTAGGGAAGGTAGATTACCATGGGACTGTTGCTAGCTAGACTAATTGGTAGTCCATTTGGGTCCACCAACAGATGCTGTATCGGGGCGTAAATGCCCCGTTGATCTCGGAGCACATAGCAAGGATATGGGTGGACTTGCCTCCGGGACATGGGGTTTACCTTCATTGTTGAACGGTATACCTTTCCAACCTCCCTCAATATTAAATATCATGAGCGACTAGCAGGTGGATGTGTATTTAGTACCATTGGAACTAAGGTTACTAGGTCTTCTTCATATTTTAGCAGATCGTTAGTGGCCTGTATTGTCCACTTATGGCGAATATGTCACGGCCACTACCGCATCCTTGCAGAGTAGGGATATAAAGTTATTCAACATCTCGAAACAAAATAGTAATTTTTCGTAAACCAACTAGACTAACAGAATTCAGAGGCTCACTGATAACACCAACGTTACTTTTGCGATTGCGCCAAAGTATTGCAGGCAATAAAGTTGGTGTCGACAAGTCTCCAGGAAAGAGAACACTTCGGCAATTTTCCTAAGACTCTATGACAGAGTGCGAAACGATCATCAGTGGTATTCATTGGAACAGTATTTCCGCGTATGTCAGAGGTACTATCGCTGTCGGGTCAGGGTGATGATATGAGTGAGGCTTTTAAAAAACTGGAGACAGATAGATATATCCTACAACATTAGTGGATAGTTAGAGTTCAGCGTCCCACAGCAGCAATGAAGTTAAGAATCCTGTCATACTCCCCGAAGTACTTTGCTACGTCTTCACACCCCTCGAAATCATCTCATTGTCCCTCCGAAGGCCTAAGCGCTAGAGATAATGTAAGGAACATGGTGAATGATGTAGTTCATGTTGTTGCCACCCGAAGCCTTTCCCCGGGATTCACAGAGTCAAATCGAGGCAATGCAGATCATCTCCCGTCGGCGTAAGGACCTGCGAATAGAATCGTGTGATTTAGAGAAGATCAGCAACCCATGAAACAAAGACCTGTCTATGTGAAATTTCATTGTTATTATATAATCATGACCATAGTCTATAGCTTCTTGTTGAGATATAAATTTAACTCTTCAATCTACTAAATAAGTAAGGATATGCAGATAAGCTTTAGGGACTTGATGGGATTCTGTTAGGGTTTGAAGTACTATGCACCGAAACAGAAGCCTGAAATATCATACCATCATGATTATAGTACAATATGTTGCATAATTTGTTCACCTCCCTTAGAAGCGAGAGCTTGCGAAGAGAATTTAGTAATTCCCTAAAATATCACTGAGCCACATTGTAGGTTCGTCCATGGAGAAGACAAGAGTTATTGCATAATAATGATCATAGAGCATTGCCTCTTGTTTGCAGGTTTGTTTTGGAGCTTGTCTCGATCAACATTAGCAAAAACTAGACTGTCTGCTTGAAATCCTGTTGAGACGATTGCTGCATGCCGGTTTTGAAGACGAGATGAAATTCAAATATTCAGCAGTAATCTGGTCCGGTAGGGTATAAAGCAATCCCTGTGCGTCTGATATAGGCATTCCTGTGTTTGATAACATCGCAAATATTCATTAGAACTTTCGCCCCCATTACTTGCAATCTAGAAGTCTTCACATATACAAATGGAAGCAATCCTGGTACAAAAGGCTAACACGGCTCCGGATGCTGTGGCGGTTGTGGATGATGACCGCGTCGTCAGCTACCGGGAACTGATCGCCCGGGCCGACATGGTTGCTGATCGACTGGACCAACAGGCTTTTGAGCCTGGCACACCGGTGTGCATTGTGGCCAATACTGGACTCAACCAGGTCATGGCTCAGGTTGCTGTTCTTCGCGCAGGAGGGAGTTGTGTTCCCGTCGACCCAGCTGCGCCTGAGGATCGCCTCAAGTCCATCCTGGAAGACTTGAACACTAAGCATATCATCACCGATAAAGACAATATCGATCGAGTTGAGAAAAAGAGTGCCATTCTCATCGAGTCAGTGCTCGAAACAAAAGTCGAAATGGATACGGAGACTGCGATTACTGTTCGCATGAATAGTCCAGAGTCACATCGCAGCCATATCATGTTCACCTCGGGTTCAACCGGCCGGCCTAAGCCAATTCAAGTCCTCAGCAGCAGTATTATTCACGCTCTCAATAACTTCCCCTTCGGGCCGCTGCTTCCCTCAGACCGGATGACGGCCCTCATCACACCTGGATTTGACCTGTCTATCTGCGAGATGTGGCTGACACTGCTCGCCGGCGCAACTATCGTTCGAGTACCCGATCTTGTGCGTGCTGATCCACCATCTCTGCAGGACTTCGTGCGTGAGCATAAGGTTTCCACTATGATTGTACCCACAGCCCTATTTCACGTTGTTGCGTTAACTGCACCATCTACTTTCGGTGGGCTACGCCACGTCGTGGTCGGGGGTGAGGCGATCAGTTCCAGTGCCCTGCATAAGGTACTTGAGGCCGCACCTCCGGAGAATCTATGGAATGGCTACGGCCCTGCAGAAGCGACTATATTTGCGACGGTGGGCCTATTAGATACAGAAGAGATGCGACGTTCACGCGTAAGTATAGGACGGCCTGTTGGGGATACAATGGTCTACCTCCTTGATGAGGATCTCAATTCGATTATCGAGCCAGGGCACACTGGAGAAATCTGCATTGCGGGGCCTCAGTTATCGCCGGGATACCTTAACCGGAATGAAGAAAACGAAAAACATTTTATTTCTCTTTCTGCAGCTGTGTTGGGTGAATTGTCAGACCAACCTATCCGAGTCTACAGAACCGGCGACTTTGCTCAGTGGAGAGACGGGAGCGGGGTCCTTGAATTCGTCGGCCGGGCTGATGACCAAGTCAAGATCTCGGGGTACCGGGTGGAGCTAGGGGATATTTCATGCTGTGTTGAGAAACATCCAAAAGTTCACGCGTGCGTTGTCAAATATATCCCTGAAGAAAGCAGCTCAGGGTATATTGAAGCTTATGTGGTTCCATCCAACTGGGATAGTCAAGTCACTTCTGACGAGTTGATTCATTGGGTTAAAGAGAGCTTACCCCAATATATGGTGCCGAGCACGATATATATGAAGCGCAGGCTCCCTTTATCCCATAATGGAAAGGTTGATAAGAAGGCGCTTCAACCACACGATGAAACAGAGCAGCCACACCACCGAAAGGAGGGAAAACATCCCAAAAACAATATAACCAAGACCACAAGAACGAATGATCATGAGGGAAAGGAGGACATAGCTCAATGGCTTTTATCGACACTGCAGGGATTTCTCCCCAAATCGGAGATCAGTATGAATGACGACTTTCTCTCCCGAGGACTGACCTCTCTTCAAGCAGCTCGCCTCGTCGGTATGATCAAACGGGACTATAAAGAAAGCATCACTCTGGCTCAACTCCATCAAAATCCAACGGTGGAACAACTTGCAAAATCCATGAACAGCTCGAATAGCAATAGCGCGCAATTCAGTCTAGAGCGTTGCGTGGAGGATTCCAAAGACTTAGGGTTTGACCTCCTCCCCCCTGATTGGCATTCCAAGGGCGAAGGTCGCGTGTTTCTCACCGGTGCTACGGGGTTCCTTGGTGCACATATACTTCATGGGCTCCTATCCATGCCATCGGTACACAAGGTTGCTTGCCTTGCCCGCGGCAAGGATGCCGTCGATGCCAGCACTCGAGTCAAGAAAACGCTGGAGAAGTACAATCTCTGGGACGATCGACGGGAAACAACCCACAAGATCATGGTCCTGCACGGCGACATGGGAGATTCGACTCTCGGGCTCGGGGAGAAACAATTCAGATGGCTCATAAATTGGGCGAGCGTTGTCTTTCACGTTGGTGCACGGGTTAACTGGTGCCAGCCTTACGAGGCGCACCATGTGCCTAATGTTCTGGGTACACGGAACGTTATTCGGGCCGCAATGCTAGGTTGTCGCAAATCTCTTCATTACGTCTCGTCGATTGACGTCTGGACCGTCACCGGATACATCAACAATGTGGACCGCGTGTACGAGGATGAGTCGCTAGACCCACATCTCAATGCCCTCCCTTATGATACCGGATACGCGGCGAGCCAATTCGTCGCCGAACAGATCGTTCGCCGAGCACGTGCTGGCGGTCTGCCAACTGCAATATACAGACCCGGATTTGTCATCGGCCACAGTAAAAGCGCCCTTGCCAACGAGAAAGACTACTTCTCTCGGTTGATTATGGGAAGCATTCAATGCGGCTGCTTTCCTCATCTTCCCGATCAGTTTTTGGATTATGTGACAGTCGACTATGTTGCGGAGGCTATTCTGCATATTGCATCCAGTCGGGACAATATCGGTCGCTCGTATCATATTGTGCCACCAGATAGGTCTCTGTCGATCGGTCACAATCAGAAGTATACCATGCTGCGCGATATCGGATACCCAGTGAAGATGGTCGACTATAGGGAGTGGGTGGAGAAGATCCGTAACTCTCCAGGAAATGCATTGGAATCCATGATGCCCCTGCTTGACGAGCCTGTTTATGAGGGTTTAAGCCGGCTGCAGACAAGCAAAAATACACCTGTGTATGATCCGACGAACACGACACGCGCCTTGCAAGACCGACCGGACATCAAGTATGTTGCTCTTGACTCAACTTTGCTGAAGCGATTCATCGAAAACTGGGAAAAACGCGAAGTTTTCACCTCTTCACCGTCATTGTGAAGATTGTCTAGGTGGGGGAACAGGTTTGTATGATAGTACCGTGAATAAAATGTGGAGGACTCGTTGGCATTAACTGCCTACATCCTGAATGTAGCTTTGTATTATATACTCAATCGCAATTAGAGCAGTTTTCCCTATCTTGATGGTGACTGCGGAATATGGGCATTTTGTAAATCCGGTAGCGATTCTTAACAAAACGCCAGAAAGGCACGTGGTACGCGTGTAGTGACCACATGACCATCTCCATCTATTGCCGCTTAATGGGGTCTTCACTTTTGACAACTACACACTTCTGAATCTGAACATTAATATAATCACTACAGCCATTATAATTCTCTCAAATGCCTGTATTGGCTATCTAAAGCTTTCTATGCGACTATTATGATCTATGTGACTTGCTGTATCATGTGCCCAAGATGCTGGTAACCCTCGAGTAGGATCAGAGGCTGGTGTCATCCCTTGACCTTGTTGAAAGGGCTATACCCGCTTCCATTATGCCAAGATTGTCCGGTGTCTATTGCTGAAATGATTTTAGAATTGTGCCACTCAGCGTACCGTTTCGCAAAGCTTCATATACAACTGATATCCACCCCCCAACAGTCTTCTTGGCTCTACCATTGATCGTCTCTGGCAAATTATTTTGGCTCGCCGAGGGGTGCTCAACGAACCCCTGGTGGAAGGGGATTTGAAGGTCATGTCGAATGGCCGTATAGATCTCCTTTGTCCCTATTCCGAGGAAGTCGGCTGTTGGTTGCAAAGTGCAAAATTCGGCGAACACCTCTCGATAAACAGCTTCAAGCTTGAGCACACTCATCATCTTGCATGCATAGATTGCTGTAAATAGATCGGAATTCTGCCGATTCTGTGGGACAATCTCCAAAAGAGCCCCGAAAAGCACGGGGACGAACATCTCGCCCACGCGCTTGCAGCGATCGGTTAGGTCGAGACGTGAAGTCGATGGCCAAGAATTCTGGAACGCTTCGGAAAGATGATCCGCTACCTTGTCTATTTCATGTGGCTCAAGCACCTTCCCAAAAGCTTCGTTTGCGATATCCCTAGCAGCACCCTGAAGCCTCTCAAAGAAGCGGAGTTGCAGGACACGTAGGTCGAGGGCTTGGCAAGCGACGTATAGTGCACACGCGCCCATCATTGACACAATATCAACCGCTTTCATGGTATACCGTGCTGAAACAAATGCCAGTGAGTTGAGTGCTTGGTTCTGCATCTCTGCGGTCTGAACGTGGGAGCTAACTGGATTGGCGAGATACGCTAACTCAGACATGTAGGCCGCCATGTTGATATCTACCCCCTTCATAGTGAAGGAAAGGCTGGGGTCGTCAGCGACTAGATTGGTGGGCAGACCATTGTTCAGGTTGGGGTCGATCATCTCGTTGCACTGAACAAACAACATTTTCCCGAACATTTGCAACGCAAGTCGGGTCTTCTCCATTGCTGAAGTAATCGAGGTTGCTTGGAAGTTACCTCCCGTGTAGAAGGTCTTCGAGCCCGTATCAATAAGCGGGTTATCCGACGTTGAATTGAGTTCAACCTGGACTTGGCGATCCGCGAGAAGAAGATCCTCCAGCTGTGGACCAATCCATTGACTGGCTGTTCGGAGAGAATAACGATCCTGGACAAGACCCGTCCTGGTTTGGGTGGTACTACTTCCCCTGGCAAGTAGAGAGCCTTTCAGCAGTGACAAAATGTTTTCCGCAGCTTCAATCTGGCCTTGATGCGGACGCACCCGAGCGATAAAAGGATGAAAACTTTCTGTGCTCCCTTGTATGGCCTCAACTGTAAGGGCAGTAACTGCCTGCGCAAGTACGGCCAGCTGATGCGCCTCATAGAGCACTAAGCCGGCAAGAGCACCCGAAGCGGCTGTGCCGTTAACCAAACCAAGGCCCTCTTTGGGTCCCAGCGTGACACCCTTCGCACCAATTGTCTGCAGTGCCTTCTGAGCCGTAACAACATGATGCTCCGATCCATCCTTGACACGCACATAGATCCCGGGACTCCCTTCAATCGCCCCGACAACGTATGCGAGCGGCATGAGATCCCCTGATGCGGAAATAGTTCCCCGGAGAGGAATTACAGGGATGACATCCTCACGGATCAACCGCAAGATTGCACTAATTGCGGGCAGTGACACGGCTGAATGACCCCGGGCAACTGAATTGCTTCTCACAAGCATAGTCGCCTTGACCCATTCGGAAGGCATGGAGTGGGAGGTGTGCTCCTGGAAATCGGATTTTAGGCCTTCATTGGTAGTATCAGATTTGGTAAGAATGCCGCTTTGGAGTAGTTGAAGGAGAGAGCTCTGCAAAGTGGTCGTCTGGTTCGTCCGTGAGTCAGCACTCCCCCCAAATCCAGTATTGACACCTGATAAATTGTGGGTCAATTCTAATACCATCTAGAGTTTGATTTGAAGGCTCGACTCACCATAGATATGATGCCCATCTCGAAGGCATTCGGCTAGTGCTATCACACTCCCATTTATAGCATCGATAGTCTCAGGCTTCTCGGTAAGTCGAGGCTGGCAGCCGTATCTATCTTAGATGTTAGGCTCATTCGTGTGAGTAGATGTTATTGAGTGGGATGTTGGCTAACTTTGCTACCGCGACAACATCAGCAAGACTAAGGCTATAGCCGTCGATACTGAGTTCACCATTCTGAACAACTTGATTCAGATCTCTCCAGTGGGCACTTGTTGTCTCTAAGTGACCATCAGGTATGTGTTTATCAAGCATAGTGGGTATATTGTTGTGTTTGATGAGTTTAGATATTCAATCTTCACTGTGGCTCGGGCTTCCTCCCTAAAAATTCTATATATATACCTTCTTCAGTCCCTTGCGGTCGTTATCGGCATTTGAGGAAAGCACAAGGTGCTCGTTTCGGCGAGGAGCTCTCCGCAGCTACTAATTAAGTACCGCATGACCTGTGCAGTCGCCACCAGCTGAGACAAAATGCACTTCGCTGTAAAACTATTCAAATGGATTGGTGCATCAATAGACTATCACTACGCAGAAGCGTGTCTCAGAATAAGAAATCCAACCGGCTCGTGTTCTCAGGCCGGCCCGGTTCAGCTCCGCTGCCCGTACTGCTATCTACAAAGCCAGAAATTCCAACAGCACCCGGTTAGACAGATACGGTTCGTTCCCAGAGAATTGCCTATTCAGATGCGATATGCAGTTCGGATCGATCTCGATGGGCTCGTGCTATCGGTGAGCCCCTTCATCTGAATTGAAGCACTGTCGATCATTCGGGATTTGGCTGCTGCGGTCGAGTCAACATTGCGCAAGCTTCCCGGATTCTGGCTGTTGTTTGGTAACACTGCAGCATCATCAGCAAGGCCATGACAAATGCCAAAGGGAATCAGACATTTTGGTCATCGAATATGGTAAAATGGTTGCCTGGGATCTCCAAGCAAGCTTTGATGAAGCTCGTATCGTACTCCTCCCATCCCAGGTATGGCCAGTCCCGGATGAGATCGATGTAGTGGGGCTCCGCCTCGGGGTCAAGATGTACCGGATTAGCTGCGCGTATGAGTATTGCAGGAGGCAGAGCTGATGAAAATTGTGGCGGTCGCCATTCACGCTGCATCTCGTGAGCGTACAGAATGCATTGCTGCGCTTGTACCCGCCGGGCATCGGACATTCGGGCCGGTAGCTGGAAGCTGGCAGCAACATCAGCGATCGTGCGGGGATACTGGTCTGTGACCTTGGCAATCGGAAAGACACTGTCGATCATGATAACACCCTGCACCGTGTACTGGGGAAGTTTCATTAGTCGAGATGCAACTTCCAAAGCAACGCAGCCGCCGAGAGACCATCCTATGTGTAAAAAGCAATTCATTGTTAGTGCCAGTGATTCCGCGTTAGCGCTAAAATTCCGTCATACCTCCCAGGATAACCTCTCCGGACCCGATGGCCGACCGAACTAAGTGTGAATAAACAACTCCCATCTGACGAATGCCGTGGTCCCATTTGCCTCCGTGATCGAAGTGAGTGTTGCCGATGCCGTAAAGCGGCCGATGAAGCTCACCCAAGCAAAAATACGGGAAGACAGTGCCGCCTGCATCATGGAAAAGTATCAATGGAGTGGACAATTCGTTTGTTCCCAATCCTGACTGGATCTTGCACGGGTTCTCTTCCATGTCGGCCGACAGACTAGGGACTTTGCTGGCTTGTGGTTGTATACCAGTAGCAAGCCTGGCCTTCTTATCACCCCCTCATCATGACGGCATCCATGCACATACTAGCCCTGTGTGCCAGAATCAGCGTCGGAAATAATAACTCCGTGACCGGTTGCTCTGTTGCCTCCGGTCTTTGTTGAGTTTTAGCTCGCAATCTTGCAGAAGATACGAGACCGAGGGATCGGCAAATTGGAGAATGATCGACGACCCGCTTCTTCGAGCCGCTTTATTCGTCTGTTCACGGGCTCCAAGTCCAGGCCCCTTCCAAGATTGGCAATTGCAATTTCAAATGGATTTCTGTCCGGGGCCCTGCGAGCCAGCCTGAAGAATTGAGCTTTAACACCGTCTGATCGTCTACCTTTTGCACAATTTTGTTGGCAAGAAGGATTCAGCAAGCTCGAGAAACTGGATTTCATTGGAAGACGCTAATAATTATTGACTAATGTTGCACAAAGATTCGGAGCTAATCGGAACCTTTTGGATACAAAATTGTTTGAGTAACAAAAGAAGACATCCTCGATTACCCAAGGCACCAGTCAAGCCTGATTTGATAGGAATCAACGTGTAACAGTAGGCACGTCTTCCTCTGATTGTAACAACCCTCGATGTAAAACACATGAGGCACCTCGAAGCCCTACATTCAAGTGGTTCAGGCCAACCGGGGTTTGCGAGCCCGAAAGAGCAGCACCACTCCTACAATATGGGTCTCGACCTCCTCAAATTCATTTTCCAATGCCTTGACAAATACCTCCGGGTTATCATCCGTATTTCCAAATATGCCTTTCCAGTTGTAGAGGCGCATGGTCAGACGCCCGAGCAGATTATGCTGTGCGCCATAACCTAAGATAGTGGCACCAAACAGAGTCCCTTCCGCAGTCAAGTGGCGTTTCAGGTGCGCAAACACAGTCGCCTTGTGATCGGTTGGCGGAGGTAGACAATGCAGCAGGTACATCATAGATATGGAGTCAAATTTGGGTGATGCACCAAGGGATCCTTGTCCGGCTGGAACGGTGAATGGCTCGAAAACACTAGCCTGCACACATTCAGTCTTGCTTGGACAGTCGATACGTTCGGCAGATTTTTGGAGACAGGAAGGGTTCATGTCGACAAGAACTAAGTGCTGAGGCCATTCTTGGTGTCTCTGCCGCATCTGCTCGCGATGCTGTACAGGGAAAAGCCCGGTACCGACACCAATGTCCATATGGCGAGGTCCAACGTTTGCCGCAAAGAAGGAACTAAGGACTGGCAAGGGACATCGCCACACATAATTGTCGTTCCACCAGTGAACGATAATATCATAGATAGTGAGCGTAATGCTCGAGTAAATTTCCCAGCCGCCCGGCATATTGGTTTTTTTGAGGCCTCTCGCTCGTCAGACAATCTGCTCGGTGTGCTGTCGTCAATCCGAAATGATTTTTTGGGGGCGTCAGTGCCCAGAGCAGTCCCTGATTTATGCAACTTCAACGAAAAGGAAAATAAAATATAAGGAAGAAAGGAACAGCTCGAACAAGACGATCATATGATGGAAAATCGTTTCGCCGTCGATCATAGAGCTGAGAGTCCGTCTATCGGATGGTTTGTGGCTTCACCAAACAACTCCCCACCCGTCCCCACTCCTTCTGCAAGGGAAAAGCACATGTTGATTGATACGAACGTCAGCACTAACACACCGTGCATTAGATGATGTATAGCTGCGTGCGGGGTCTGCTCTCGGTCTTGCTCAAGGCCGAGAAGTTACTGCGTTGCTCTCCGGGATTGAAGATAGATACACACCGGAAGTTCTATGAGCGGTCGAACCCAAAAAGCAAAGCCAGAAAGTTGAAGTGCGTGATGGGGAAGTGAAGCCATTGCAGGCGTACTCTTGGTTTGCCTTTCCTGATCACAAATCATTGTTCATCATTCGATCATGATCCACCTTCCCAACATGCTGGACACCATCACAGCCTATGCCCTTATATAGTGCAAAGTCACCGAAGGCCTCAGATTCCTTCCAGATTTGTGAACGATATTTGTGGTTTTGAGCTATCTTCCCCGTCAAACTGAGTAACGATCTTTTGATTAGTCCCAATGACACGAACAGAACCAATCGCCATCATCGGCACAGGCTGCCGATTCCCAGGATCGGCCTCCTCGCCCTCTCGACTCTGGGAACTACTGGAGAATCCGCGCGATGTCGCCTCTAAGCCCCCTCCTGACCGCTTCAATTCAGACGCCTTCTACCAAGCTGGCAAGGCCCGGCCCGGCATGATGGTTGCTCCCGAGGCCTACTTTCTCCAGGAGGATATTCGGGCATTTGATGCCCCTTTCTTCAAGGTCTCCCCTGCGGAGGCCGCATCAATGGATCCTCAGCAACGATTGCTCATGGAAGTAGTATACGAAGCTCTCGAAAGATCCGGGCTTCCACTACAGCACTTGCAGGGTTCATATACGGGAGTTTATTGTGGCTCCATGAGCAACGACTACCAATCCCTGATCAATGCAGATCTAAATATGCTACGCCCTTTTTCAGTCACTGGTACAACAGCCTCGATCCTTGCCAATCGAATCTCTTACTTTTTCGATTGGCATGGACCCTCATTTGTCCTGGATACGGCCTGCTCCTCGAGCTTAGTAGCACTCCACCTGGCGGCGGAGGCACTACACAATGGTGACTGCTCACTCGCTGTTGTCGTGGGTAGCAACCTGATTCTATCCCCAGATCCATTTATTGGGGAGTCCCAGATGCATATGATGTCACCCACAGGGCGCTGTCATATGTGGGATGCCCAGGGCGATGGCTATGCCCGAGGCGAAGGGGTGGCCGCGCTCGTGTTGAAGCGTCTCCAGGATGCAGTTGCTGATGCTGATCCCATTGAATGTGTCATTCGCTCTACTGGTGTAAATTCGGACGGTCATACCGAAGCACTGACCTTGCCTAATGGTGAGGCACAGCGGGAGCTTATTCGCTCAACATATGCGCGCGCTGGTCTCAATCCCCTTCGCCGAGAAGACCGTTGCCAATTTTTCGAAGCCCATGGGACAGGAACACAAGCGGGTGATCCTCAAGAGGCATTTGGTATTTCCTCTGCTTTTTTCGACGATGGCTCCCATCCCGATGATTTCATCTACGTGGGCTCCATTAAGAGCGTCACAGGCCATGCAGAAGGCACGGCAGGAATTGCTGGGGTTCTCAAAGCATCACTAGCCATCCAGCATGGTGTTATACCACCCAACCTGCCGTTTAACAGACTCAACCCCCTAGTGGCTCCATATACCTCCCACCTCCAATTCCCGACTCAAGCTCTTCCCTGGCCAGACCTTCCATCCGGGTCTCCACGACGGGTGTCGGTCAACTCATTTGGATTTGGGGGCACCAATGCGCACGTCGTTCTGGAGAGCTTTGACAGACCTCCATCATCTTCATCAGACTGTGAGCCTGTAACACCAACAATTCTCCCGTTTGTATTCTCAGCAGCATCTGAAGCCTCGCTCACTGCGGTCCTACGACATTATGTCAGTTATTTGGAGGAACGCCCTACAGTAAACCTACTGGAACTAGCCGCTTCCCTTCTAAAGAAACGATCCACCTTGAGTCATCGCTTAATTCTTACTGCAGGCACAATTGAAAGCCTCAGGGGGTCCCTAAATGATGAACTGCAACGACTATCTGCTGACACATCGTCAACTATCACACGACGGCTCACCCCTGGGCCAAAAAGAATATTAGGTGTTTTTACGGGTCAAGGCGCACAATGGCCACAGATGGGCTTAGATGTTATCTCTCAATGCCCACAGTCTCAGATTTGGATGGAAGAGATGCAGCAGGCCCTGGATACTCTTCCAGCGGAGTACAGACCGGCGTTCACTCTTTTGGATGAATTGTCCGCTCCCGAGGAAACATCTCGGCTCAACTCAGCAGCAATCTCGCTACCGCTGCGTACAGCACTGCAAATCATCCAGGTTAATATCCTGCGCTCCCTTGGAATAGAATTCGCAGCTGTTGTTGGTCATTCCTCTGGTGAAATTGGTGCAGCCTATGCAGCAGGTTGGCTGACCCTAAGAGATGCCATTCGGGTCGCCTATTTGCGAGGAGTCGCAGCACAGTACGCTGGCTCTCAGGGAAAGTCTGGTGCTATGCTAGCAGTTAGTACACCGTGGGATCAGGCGGATGCAATGTGTAGCGAAGCGGCCCATTCTGGTACAATTGTCGTGGCTGCCTTCAATTCTCCTACCAGTGTGACTTTCTCAGGCGACAGTGAGTTGATCACTGAGATGGAGTGGGTCATAGAGAGCCTCGGCTATTCTTCACGGCGTTTGCGTGTCGATACGGCTTATCACTCTAGTCATATGATCCCCTGTGCTGATCCATATGTTCAATCAATGAGACAGTGCCAAGTCCAGGGACGCAAAAGCTCATCTGACACCAAGTGGTTTTCCAGTGTCTTCGAGGGTCAAGTTATGCAGAATCTTGACATCCAGTACTGGAGCGATAATATGCTTCGCCCTGTACTCTTCTCTCAGGCATTGACAGCTCCTATCACAGAACTTCCGGGGATAGATGCCATTGTTGAGGTGGGACCCCATGCTGCTCTTCAGGGGCCCACCATGCAAACCTTGTCGACCATCAAACCTGACGAAGCCGATGTCCCTTACGTCGGAATTGCTAATCGCAAGTCTGGTGGTATCGAAGCTTTAGCACTGGCGGTGGGCTCTTTATGGGCGAATCTAGGATGTCAAACTCTGGATGTCGTCTCATACATCCGGCTGTTTTCGCCGTCTATGAAGTTAAACTATCTTACTGATCTTCCCACCTATCCATTTGACCACAGTCAAAGGTACTGGGCCGTTCCACGTCTATCCAGTGCGCGCATCAACCGTCGACACCCCATCCACCCCCTCCTTGGCGCCCTTACCCCTGAGACTGGCGATGCAGAGTGGCGCTGGCGTAACTTCTTGCGGGTGCAGGACTTAGAATGGATGGACGGGCACCAAGTGCAATCGCAAGTTGTATTTCCTGCTACAGGGTATCTCGTCATGGCTCTAGACGCGGCCCGTTTTGTTGCAGATGAACGGCAGCTCCAACTCGTCGAGATACGTGAACTTACCATCGATCGCGCGATTACTATACCCGATAATTCCTCCGGCGTCGAGACTCTGTTTACTTTCTATCGAACAGACAGCAATGGCGACAAAATAGCTGGGGTATTCACCTGCCAATCGAGTCTTGATGATAATTCCTTCCATTGCTGTGCATCCGGTCACCTAGAGATATCTTTTGGCGAGCCAGATGCAACGCTCTTGCCATCATTGAGTCCGACACCCCCGGGATTGCGCCCTGTGGATTCAGACGAGTTCTACCAGCAACTAGATAGCCTCGGGTATGGCTACTCAGGTATATTTCGCACCCTTCAAGACATCTGGCGTCGGAAGGACGTCGCAAATGCCAAACTACCGATTCTCGACGCGGGTTCAGCGCTTCTGATCCATCCTGCTACGTTGGACACTGGCCTCCAGGCCATAATGGCGGCGATGGGAGATCCTAACGACGGCCAAGTATCCGGCTTGTATCTCCCCACTAGAATCGCAAGCACAATAATTAACCCTTCTCTCTACCGCGTCAGCAGCGGGCAAACTCTCCGTGGCCCCTATGAAGTAGCGGCCACGGTGTCCTGGACCGATAACTCAGGCATACGCGGCGATATCGATCTGTTCGACAGTGAAGGTCATGGTCTAGTCCAAATAGAGGGTGTTGAAATATCTCCCCTTGCCCAGCCCAGTATGGACGATATCAGGGCATTCGCAGAACGTAAATGGGGTCCTTTGCTGCCAAACGCAATGCTCTCCAGGCCCCCTAGTCTCCCTGGCTGTTATCTCGAGGTCAACCGCGTGGCTCTGCTTTACTTGAGGGACACGCAACAACAGCTGACATATGAGGATCGCCAACAGCTGGATTGGCACCGAGGCCGCTATGTAGCCTGGATGGATATGATGTTGTCCAGGGTGCAGGCTGGCAACCATCCCAATTATCCTGCAGAATGGCTCCGGGATGATTACATCTCTGTGGTCTCAGAAGATCTGAAACATGCGATCAAAAACCACTTGGAAACCTTAGAGGTTGCGGGTCCGAAACTCATAGGGTGGCTGCGTGGCCAAGTCAGCATTATGGAAGAGCTACGCCGCGACGATCTCCTCACTCGATTCTATCAAGACTTCTGGTTTCGAATGATGACTTGCAGTCTCGCTGGTGTCGTAAGTCAATTGTCCTTCCGGTACCCTCGCATGAAGATTCTTGAAGTTGGGGCTGGGACAGGCTCAGCGACACGGGAGGTGCTCGACCAAATTGGACGAGACTATCATTCGTACACCTATACCGACGTCTCTGCGGCCTTCTTCGAAGAAGCCCAAAGCGCTTTTGAAACGCACAATGATCGCTTCATATACCAAGTCTTGGATCTAGAGCGGGATCCAACAGAACAGGATTTTGCCGAGCATGCGTATGATCTGGTCATCGCGAGCAACGTACTGCACGCTACCCGTTCCTTGACTAAAACTATGACCCATGTACGACGCTTACTGAAGCCCGGCGGAAGGGTTGTTGTGCTCGAGCTTATTGACCCTGAAGATGTTGTCATTTCGACCATTTTTGGCGGGTTTGAAGGATGGTGGTTAGGAGAAAACGACGGTCGCCCCTGGGGACCTATGGTCTCCATTGATGCCTGGGACGAGGTGCTCCGAAATGCGGGCTTTGGGGGGGTGGAAACATGTTCTTCTCCAGAAGTCAGAGAACAGGTGGGACTTTCGGTCTTTAGCTCCCAGGCCGTGGATGATCACATTTTGAAGTTGCAGAAACCGCTTTCGGTGCCCGCCACGGGACAGTACCCAGATCTTGTCCTACTTGGGGGTGCCTCTCCACGCACAGAACGTCTACTCGCTGGGGTCCAGAATCTCGTGGCACCCTTTTTCGCTCGTATCAGCCATTCGGCCACGCTTGAAGACTTTGTCCCTCCACCCAATGCAACTTTATTGTCCGTTTTGGTTTTGTCCGACATAGACACCCCTTGCTTGCAAGATTTTTCTGCGAACCGTCTGCACAGCCTACAGGCGCTATTTGGGGCTGCTGGGAAGCTTCTCTGGGTTGCGACTGGCAAGCCCGGCGAAAACCCCTATCAGGCCATGACTAAAGGAATTTTACGCTGTTTGTCTTACGAAATTCCACATGCCCTACTCCAGCACCTCACTGTCGATGACTGGGAAACGGTTGAACCCAATATCATAGCTACAGCACTCATGCGGCTTGTTCATACGGAAGCCTATAATGACTATAGTCTCGCTGACTGTACCGAGAATCCGGAATGGGAACTTCGATTCGAAGACAACATGATGATGATCCCTAGGTTGAAGGCTAGTCCCACGATGAACCGACGACTTCTTACTAGTCGTGGCTTTGCCAGTAGAGAGCATGTGGAACCCAAACTGACGCCTGTGAATGTCGTTTCTGATAACACAGAAGCCGCCCTGGTCTCATTACCCCAAAAGACACTGCCAGGCCAGATGGTCCATGTGCATAACAAAGACATTGTCTACATTCGGGTCCACTATGCCACTATTTCCACGGTTTACGTGGAGTCTGCTGGCTTTGCGTACCTAGTTTTAGGACAAGACCAGAAGACACGCACACGAGTTGTGGGGTTGTCTATTAATCACGCCTCGGTCATTTCCACTCCAGCATCCTGGTGTTGGAACGCTCCCAGCTGGCTCTCAGAACAAGACGAAGCAGCATATTTGAGCGAAGTTGCTACGGCCCTGGTTGCCCGTAATCTGGTTAGCAAAGCCCCATCTAACACTGTTCTGCTTCTGGACGGAGCTACCGCATCTCTTCAAGAATCGGTGGCTGCAATGGCCTCCATGAAAGGTGTCAGAGTGCGGTATATCACAAGCACCGAGGTTGCCCGAAAACGCCCAACCACGCTTGTCATTCCACCCCGTAGCTCAACACGTGCAATCTCGCGCCTGTTACCTTCTGGGGTTTCGGTTTTCGCCAGTTTGAGGTCTGAAACAGACACTACCATTTCCCGAATTAGGTCGGCGTTGTCTCCTGCAGTGGCGACCTATAGCTTGCCCGCCCTCTACGGCGGCTTGCCAGCCTCAGGGGCAGAGGGCGAAGGGGGCTTCTGCACAAATATCCTGGCAGCATCCTGCATTTTTGCGGAACAACAAACCTCCTTGCGGTCGACTGTTGTCACGATCAAACCAGAGGACATTCCCTCTAACTCCCCAGGCAGTGACCATTCCATCATCGTTGACTGGCTGAATTCAGGGCCTGTGTTGGCATACCCCTTATCTGCTAGCTCGTTAGTAAACTTGAACTCCCACAAGACCTATTTGCTAGTTGGTATGACGGGTGATCTTGGGCGATCGGTTTGCCATTGGATGATTAGCCGTGGAGCCCGTTACTTGGTTTTAACCAGTCGAAATCCAAATATCGATCCTTGCTGGGTCGAAGAGATGACGGCCCTTGGGGCCCACGTCGTCGTAAAGGCCATGTTAGTCTGATCCTTCTCTTTTTCAGCAGCATACATACTTATTGACACTTTTAGGGACGTATCGGACCGTGCCTCTGTTTTGCATGTACACAATTACATCATGGCAGAGCTCCCACCAGTTGGGGGTGTTGTAAACGGCGCAATGGTCCTCCGGGATGTCGCTTTTGATAAAGCATCGCTGGAAGATGTGGCCACTGTCCTGGGGCCCAAAGTGAAGGGCAGTCAGATATTGAATGAACTCTATCACGGTGAAAATCTAGACTTCTTCATCTTGATGGGTTCGTATACCGGCATAGCCGGTAACTTCAACCAGTCTATATATGCCGCAACAGCGGTTTACATGGAGGATCTCGTGCTTCAGCGACGGCTCCGTGGCCAGGTCGGCAGCATTGTCTTTCCAGCTGAAGTGCGCGGCATTGGCTATGTTGCTCGCATGGGAACACAGACTAGAGAACACCTTGCAAAAACTGTTGGCAAATCGATATTGTCCGAGCGTGACCTGTTGGAACTGTTTGCAGAGGCAATTCTGGCCGGTCGGCCTGACTCTGACCGGGATCCAGCTATTATTTGCGGTCTTGCTATGACTGACCCTGCAGAATATCCCGACGTGATATGGTTCAAAAACCCTAGCCTCTGGTCCTACATTCAATATTCTCGACAGTCGCAGGCTCGGGACGGTAAGCAGGAGCAAATCCCCATCAAGGCGCAACTGCAGTCGGCAAGTAGCTTAACTGAAGCGGCCGAGATCATTGCTGCAGGCTTCTCTAAGAAACTTGAGCGCAAGCTACAACTGCCTCGAGATTCCGAGCTACCTGGGGCGACCTTGTTATCTGATTTCGGCATAGATTCACTGATCGCGGTCGATCTGCGGGTCTGGTTTGTCAAGGAGTTAGGCGTGGATATGCCGGTGCTAAAGCTGCTAGGAGGGTTGTCCATTGATGCCCTGGCGCAAGATGCGGCTGGACAGTTGGACCCAGCACTGCTGCCACGGGTCCAGACATAAGTAGTTATGAGATGTGTGACTTAGCTAGCTGTTCGCGAGTCTCAGTCAATTCAGCTCCTGAAATCGGAAAGGTCATCCCGATTCACGTGCTGGGATTTTCGGTCACTCTGATTCTGATTTGTAGAAGGCACCCAGTGCCGACGAGTTTCTCCGTCGACTCCGTAGGCCGCCAGCTTCCTCCTCATGGGAAGGGTATAAGAGGCCCTGGCTCCCCTCAGACGTCTGTTCCAGCATCTCTCTTCTCTTCTCGCCCAAACCTTCTTGCATTCAGGTTACTGTACTCACACGATGGACTCCTCTCGCTCTTATGACGTGGTCACCTTCTCCCTGGATGCCCAGGTAGAGTATGATCCTTGCAAGCCTTTGTTCATCGATCCCCAGGAGCCCTCGCGGTCTCTCAACGCCAGCCAGTTCAAGTTCCTGGTGCACACTCTGATTGCCGGGCTGAAGGCCCATGGCCTGGGTCGTGGTGATTGCGTCTTACTCCATACGGGGAACAATGTACGTCTATCCTAGTCCACTACACACTCCTCTTGGCTCACCTTTCCTTTTCTACCCATACTTAGGTTCTCTACACGGCCCTGTTCCTGGCCATCATCGGCGCAGGTGGCGTCTATATGGGCTCCAATCCACACAGTCAACTGCAAGAGCTCAATCACACCGTCTCCCTAACCCATCCCAAATGGATCATCACCGAGCCAGAAGGGTCCTCAACAGTGCATACCATTGCTAACAAGCATGAGTTGGCCAACGACCACATTCTCCTTCTGGACGATGCCACCATCACCGAGACCATTCGTTTCGTGCAGGATCCATCCGTACCTCCTCCTCAGACTACAGACAGAACCACCCTCCTCGCCCTTCTGTCGCACGGCACCTCCCCTCCCCTCCCCATCCCCGACGCAGCAACCGCAGCCTCCACCCCAGCAGCCCTCTACTCCACCAGCGGCACCACCGGCCTCCCCAAAGCTGCCGTGCTCTCCCACGGTTCCCTGATAGCCCAGCACGCCTCCATCGCCCACTCCTCTCCTTACCCTGTGACACGTCTCATCTCCCTCCCTATCTTCCACCTCTTCAGCTCCCTCTGGACACACCTCTTTCCCATTCGCTACGGGGAACCTCTCTACCTCCTGCGTGACTTCCAGTTCCCTCTCTTCCTTTCCACTGTCCACCGATACCAGATCACCGAAACCTACCTTGTCCCTGCCATGGTGCACATGCTCAACCAAGCACCTGCCACTCAGGATGTCAAAACCCGCCTCTCCTCCCTCCGATACATAGGCGTTGCTGGGGCACCTATCGACCGTGCCTCTATGTCTGCCTTCCAGGACTTGTTGCATCCGGATGCCTGTGCCGGACAGGTCTGGGGTATGACGGAGTGTGGGGTGGTCTTTCAACAACGCTATCCTGCCAGTGGCAGATCAGGACAGGGTGATCTGGGAAGCATTGGACCTGTCACTGCGGGGTGTGAGGCAAGACTTGTGTCTAGTGCTGAAGTGGTCAAGGATGATGAAGTCCCGGGACAGTTGTATGTGAGAGGGCCTGGTTTATTCACGGGATACTTGGGACGTAATGAGTCCATGGTTGATGCTGAAGGGTGGTTTGATACGGGCGATGTGGCCTACGTCAAGAATGGGGAGTATTTCATCGTGGGCAGGACAAAGGAGTTGATTAAAGTGCGGGGGTACGTTTATTTTCTTCCATGCCCTATGTTCATTCTACACCATTGACTAACGCATACAATCGTGGAAATAGATACCAAGTTTGTCCCGCTGAAATCGAAGCCGTACTGCTCCAGCACCCGCTCATTGCGGACGTCGCAGTCATCGGCACCTGTCTATCGGATGGGAGCTCGGAAGCTCCTCGTGCATATGTTGTGCGAGCTAGAGCCCCCGGTGCTAGGGTTAGCTCCGATGAGGTGTATGATTTTGCACGTCAGCGGTTGGCGGCGTATAAAGCGTTGGATGGGGGTGTGTTCTTTGTTGAGAGGATCCCGCGGACTGTTAGTGGGAAGATTCAGAGAGGGAAGTTAGCGAGCATGAATGAGAGACGGGACGCGTTGGCGGGATTGTTGGCGAAATTCAAGGCGAAGGATGTTGGGGGGGTTAGGGGTAGGGCGTCTGTAGTGGTTTAGTGCCATTGAGTAGGTAGCTCTGGGTTATTTGGGATGGTGACGCTGTTGGTTCTACTCTATCTGATTGAGTCGGTTGTTTGTTTCATGTTGTGATGATGTTATCATTATTGATTTCGGGTATATACTGTCTCTGAAGGAAGTCGTGGGTGGATGATGATGCTACTCATTGTCTCTTGTTATTTTGGTCAACAAGTATTAGATCACTGGCAGAATACGCTCTACGTATATGTGTACATTGATGCCGCGAGATTCTATACAAAATCAGCAAGCAAAGTTATGAGAGGACCAATGAAAATGATGATTGTACTACTTAACATATACATTTAGGGTACAGCGTATTGATGGACTGAATCGCTCTCCCATAACAAAGACTCCCTAGTATCCAGCCCATCATCATTCAACATTATAATTAAGAAATAAAAGAGATAAATATATAAAAAAGCCCCGAAGCATATATAAATAAGGGATAAAAATAAAAAGCAAAAATACATACAACAGAAGGGATTCGCTGGTGGTCACCCACCCAACTACTAACCTCCCGGCGTGTGGCTTAAGTACGGCTGAGCGGACGGGAAGCCCTGTTTTCCACACCCTATGGTCGTATGTGCTTCATAATTATTGGACTCAAACTATATAGCACGAAATATAACCTCACAAACCTTATCTATTTCAAGCCCACCACGGAGTAGCAAAGAATCATCCATACAACGCACGGACTACCAGCTACAGCAGAACAACGCTATAGTAATCATGCAAGCCCGTGCAGGTGGCTCGACCAAACAGACCAATCACATCCAGACCACTCCACACATGGGACTGCACAGGCCACATTGTGGTTACACAAGAAGGAATATTCATGCAGGACTGTGCATGGAGATGTGGAGCAACATAAGTCTAGTAGCCAATTACACCTTGTATAGGGTAGCACAAACATGCATGTCAGCCTCAGCACAGACCATGTTGGAGAATGCGCTAATGCACGGTGTTGCAGGTTGACGGCTCTAAAATGTGGCATTAATGCACAGTGTTGCAGGTTAATGGCTCTAAATATGGAGCTAATGCACGGTGTCGCAAAGCAGTCGCTCTAAATATAGAGCTAATGCGCGGTGTTGCAGGTTGATGGCTCTAAAAGCTGCACTCATGCAGAAGACTGCATACAGAATGGTTCTAAAACTGGAACTCATGCACGGTGTTGCAATGCGATTGCTCTAAACAGACACTAATGCACACAGTCGCAGGACAGTCGCTCTAAAACATGCCACTAATGCATGGTCTGACTGGATGGCTCTAAAAAAAGGCACTAATGCACGGTGTTGCAGGACGACTGCTCTAAAATGTAGATCACCACGTGATGTGTCCAATCATATGCCATGACTTTTATCTACAACTGACCCACAGGACCTGGAGATACTGGGGATGGACTCAGTTGAACTTCAGATACTTGAAGCAAGTGCTGCTTTGTAGTTTTTGTTAGGAAGCGCATATACTGCTCTTTTATCGGACTAATATATTACGGCTTCAGCTTTAGAGGAGATAATGGACATAGGTTATCTATTATTGCTCGCTAGAACGAGGACCCATGGTTACACACCTGTCACGGTCGCATATTCTCGATTCTGGTCTTCAGCTGATATCTCGTCAATAAATACATTTTAGATGTGACATCTGATTTCTTAATATATTATGTTGATCTTAAGGCTGCTGACGAGTCCAACATCAAGTACTAAACACCTCCTTGTGCTAATTTCCTCTTCATCGATGTCACCATTGAGCTCGTCCAAAGTATCACCAATGCCAGAAATATTTCTGCACACTTCTGGCAGCCTGACAGACAGTCCGAGAAAGCGGAAAGATAGGGTTGTCGACAATCAACGAGCCCAGAAGTCTAAAAGCGACCTCGTATCCGCCATAAGGGTAGTATGAAGCCCAGCCGTGTTCGCCTTGATGCAAATGCTATGAGTCCGAGTCTTGTGGCTCACAAAAGACAAGAAAGTCGATTCCTGCCGCTAGAATTACCGAAGACCTGGGCTTTTTTTAGATTTTATTTTTTTTTCCTCGATACCTGCCTTGTGTATGATGCCTAATCGGGTCAAGAAATGATTCCGTGAAACGCATCTATAAGCCACGACTTGAGCCAGTCCAAAAATCCTTAGATACCTTTAACCTTCTAGGACCAGCAAATAACTCGACTCGTTTACGACGTCTTCATATCAGAATATGTAGTCTGTGAATCCTTCAACAGTCTCTCTTACGCCACAAAAAGTAATCATCAATTCGAGCTTTTCTCACCCTGGGGGCACACATGCTGGGCATTTTGCATGTTGATTCCTTGCCTAAAGTCCGACAATAGGAGTGTACTAATATTGCATGCAGCTGAAAGCGAAGAAGCCCTATACAGCAAGGAGTAGTATCTCATTCTCGATATCGATTGGAAAGGTCGCTTTGCCACGGATGCTGGTATTCGTGGGGGATATTTGCCTTAGCTTTCCACCCTTAGACAACGCTGCATAGGTAAGAAATGATCCCCTCCATTTTAATCTGTATGTTCAGAAGAGCTTATCTTTCTCAACGTCAGGAATGGTATGGGACAGCCACTTGAACGGTCAAGAGATTATCAGGATGATAATGTGTTGCTGTCTGGGCTCTGAATAAGAGTCGGTTCCTCTTCGTCATGTTTCCAAGGCTATAAGAAGCCGATTTTCCTTGTCTTCTCAGAGCACTAGCTGTCAGAATTGCCTCTGAATCCATAACAAAACTAAAACAGCAGTCATCGAAACCGAAACAAAAAACCGAACAAAGCCCCGTGGGCAACTCTTATTAGAAGAGTTTTATAAGAAGAGTGAAAAAAGCTCCCAGCCTTATTCAAAGCCCGCCACCACCATCAGAACCAGTAGCACTGCTAGCACCAGCGCCGGGTCGTCTATGTAAAGAATCCCTCTAAAAGCTCTGGTTCTTCCAAGATGTAGCTCCAATCACTGCACCAAGTCCTGGACTGCATGAAGTAATCAATCTGCTCGATGAGCTCCCTGAGTATCATAGGTGTACGAGTGATAAAGTCCTCGAGGGTGGAGATTTGATGAGGCTGCCTGTAGTCCTGAAGGAGGTCACGAAGATCCGCCATCAACAAATATGGCGCGGGACGATGTGGCATAAGTTGTGGTGGAGAAGCAGTGGCCAGCAAGGAATGACGAAAGGGGGAGGTATACCCAAGAGAAAACAAGATGGAATGGTTAGCAGGAAGATAAAAGAAGAGAAAGAGGACCTCTATCTCCCTGTCATTTTTCCTGTTTGAAACTTTGATATGTATAAGTAGTACCGCCCACTGTGGTTTGAGTTTCCATATCGACAGTGACATTTCCTAGTCATCTCCAACGACTGAAGGCACAATGTTAGTATTCTTGAAATACACCTGACCGTACCCAGTTTCAGCAAACCTAGTCCAGCGGAGGTTAGGACAAGCTGCCACAATTTTCGCATGGTTTGTGCCACCAACAGCCGTCTATGTCACTGACCATGCCGGTAGACACGACATGTGCTGGGGCTTGAGCTTGGGCTTACGGCTTTGCAAGACAGCCACAAACAAAGCAACATTGTGAACGTCTGTCTCGGTGCAGAGTATAATGATTGATGATAGCTCGCGTGTAAAGTAGTCGCTGGTTCTCGACAGTACCAGTTTTTGATCTGGCAGTCTGCTATATGAAGTGACGAGAATCCAGTAATTGCGATAGCAAATTCCCAGAATAAATCACGATACTTGCATCAAGCGACGTTCACGGAGGCGCTCGCTGAGATTGCGTTTTGTTAGGTCCTCATTATAGAAGAAAGCAGGGTATAGCGAAGAATTTCTTGGGTCTGTTAGATCGCATTTCGATCCACAGTTGGGTGATGTAAGGCCATAAGTGCATCCACCATATCCTATGGCCATTTTGCTTACAATCTTATGTAAGAATGCTGGATACACTGGTAGTTGGCATCCAATTGGATGCTATATCAAATCAGTAAATAGTTTAGAACACAACAGGCAGTAGATTGGGGTGCTGATCACGCCTAGTGCAGCTAACACCATGTTGTTAGCCCTGCGGCGCTTATATTATCGATTTTCACAATTCAGGATTTCCATTCTATGGTTACCTTGTTTGGATTCCATTTTCGTGGCATGGCCTCATCGGGTTCCAGTTCTCTTGGCATTGTCTCGTCTCGCTTCAGTTCCCGGCACAATGCCTCGTTAGTTTTCTATTCCGATAGATTTGCCTCGTTGGAACCCCATTTTGCGAACATCAACTTCTCATTGCCTGTTTCTCTGCAGATTGGCCTCTCCACATAGCCACGGCAAACGTACGAGTGGAGGAATACCCCACAATCTGACGTAGGGCTTTCTCAAGCGAATTCAGCTTATTTGGATACACCGCACGAATAACTCAACAGCACAGTAGCTGTTTCAATAAGCGGCTGCCGAAGGCTGACTGTCTCCTCCCATCTCGTGATGAGTCACATTACACGAAGCACGCGTCCGTTTCCCTGGTCTGATAGGGCTTGGGAGGTCGGTGTATCAAACTGGTGGGAGTTCCGGCAGAGATACTGTAGATTAGAACCAGCTGCATTGACATAGTAGCTGCAAATAAGGACCATGTATTTGTCCGGGTTGGTAGTGAAGTTGCAAACTAGTTCCCGTCGCTCTTTTGCTGTCAGGTCAGAGTGATAGATGTGGCAATCAATATGTGCATGATGTAAAGCCATTGCAATATACATCTGCTGCGATGGGCCAGTGCACCAAATGATAGACTGCTCATCTATTATCTGCTGTTTCTCCACTCATCAAGTGCCACGACCCGGAAGCCCATGGTTAGGGCTCATAACTGTCTGCGTGTCGATATGATCTGTATTCCTTGGCCGTGGTTCCACCGATAGGTATAGAGAAAGTACCAGAGACTTATATAATATCCTTATCAAAGTCCAGTTGTTGAAGAGTAGAGACTCCCAGAATTCCAGTAGAGCTGTGAGTGCATATACCCAATATCAATGATATCCTGCTCACCTATATAATTGTGACCCCGAGGGCTCGCTGAGATGTTCGGGGAGTAGTAATAGTGACGGTCACGACAATGAGACTGAAGAGGAGCTTTGAACCCTCAATATTCCCCAGATTCGTACATTAGTTGCTGACGTGGTATCTCAGATTTCAGAGTATGTAGATGGCTTTCAACCCATTCTTGGCTGCCTCTCTTTGGATTTCTTCCACGATGTGGCGCTACTCAAACCACTACGAAAGCTCCCATAATGCTAGAGGCTTGAGGACATATGGTGCACGAACGGATAAATCGCCAGACACAGCAGAAGCAAGGACATGCCTCCCTTCACGTATGCACTTTAGCTTATCTGCTGCGTCTCTCGCTTGATATGGAGGGGTCAAGAAGAAGGACTATTATCACAACTCGTCTGGAGCCCCAATTCTCCGTTGTTTGGAGCATCGAGTACTAGTTTTTTTTCTTTTTGTCCTTCCACTGTCGAGATTTTGCACGAATTGATTTCTCGCATTTGCACCAAGCAGTCGGAATTCTGCCAGTATCTTGAGTCTCTGCAGAGGTGAAAATGTCCCCTGACTTTGACAAGTACACTCCTTCTCCCAAAAATTATAAGGTGTTGTTCAGTCGGTAGTTTACCAAAATGGGCGATGGGAGTGGGCAAGTTCGTAGAAGAAAGCCCACATGAGTCGATAGTATTTTTTGTCCCGCATGTGTTCCCAAATGTTCGAATGATCTCGAACCCGGCGTGGATAGCATCCCTTGCTTTGCGTAACAAGGTACCGTAGAGGATTCGAAACTATCAGTGTATATATATTGACTGTGAGCCAGAAGTGGCTCACTATACCCACGTTCTTTGTTGAGGCAACCATTTCTAGGTCCAGCAAGCCATGGATGGAGTCATTGATGATTTTGGAATTCGAGAAGCCATCATAAGTCTCTCGATGAAGAGTTTTGTAGCAATATCCAATCACTACCAGTCCTTTCTCTTAAGATCTCTAGCATTTCTTGAATTCCTCCGTTTTGAAGTTGGTCAGAGCCAGAATCAACAGTTTCTCGCCGGTTGCCTTCATTTTTCTTGACGGTATTTGTTCTCTTGCAATGGCAAGATTGGGAAGCGTGGTCGATATCCCAGACATTTTGCTTGACACTGTATAGTGGCTATATCACCTTCTCCATTCTTCGGATAGAGTAATACTGGTATGTAGGCATGCTTAGAGCATGCTAGATGTGTATATTTTTGAGGTCTTTGGTATGATTTTTGTTACAATGTTCTTTCTTGGAGATGGGAAAAGAGTATGGTGGGTGAAATTGGCAAATGATGTCTAGAAAGTATGAAGATGGCGAGATGAAGAAGAAGGTCGGAGAGGGGGGATGATATGTATTTATGCTACGGAAACTGACTGGGAATGATGAGGGCTTACATGGAATGTTGTCCATTGCCTATTAGCTCTGGTGAAGCTTGCATTTGCGGCACGTATTGAATGATATATTGACTGGGCTTTCAAGGTTGTGAATATGGATATTCCTCGTAGAAAGCATATACGCCCATTCGAGACAGGTATTCCTAATAACTAGCTGGATTGTGAATCCCCTGACTTTTGCAGATTCCCTGAAGAACTATTGCTCGATATTATCAATGATACTAGTGGTAGTACGATACTAGATACCCGCTACGGTAACTTCCAGGGTAGTGATGAGCCGATACTTCACAGCCGCGATTATGAAATTACCTCCCCAGATACTATCCGTCAGTGACGATATTACCGAACAATTGCCATTGAAACCGTTATGCCACCATTGAAAAACCTATATATATTATATACATCACCTTATTTCACAATATAATCATACAATACCCATTAACGCCCATTTTCCTATCCCTCAACTTACAATACCCATAACAATTGAATCAAGGCACAACTGCCAACAAACCCACCAAAAACCCAGCGAGAGGCCACATAGCCCTCGCACCATTAAGCAACGCCCACCTATCCAACAATCCCAACACCCTCTCGCCCTCCTGAGGATTCTTCTCCTCCTGCACGCCCACCTTGGCCTTCTCCATCAAAGCATCATTCGTGCCCTTCATAGCCAGAATAGTCCACGGCACAATGGCAATCGTCAATGCAGCAGCAATCGCATACGTAGTGGTTGCTCCCCGTGGTACGATCGCTGCCAATGTGCTCTGTGCTCTCGTCTCCCAGGATAGATACAAGAGGGTGGTGGCGGTGAAGAGAGCGATCGGGGGAGCGCGGTTTTTGCCCGTTTCATAGACGAGGGCCCATTGTTTGGTGATAGTTGATAGAGGGATCCTATGCTCTTTGTGGGATTGCAGGAGAGCTGGGATTGTCATTAGGGATAGAGAGAAGATGTTTCCTGCATATTCTATTGTTAGCGAGAGTTTAGGTTCAGGATGAATGGGGCGTAGTACCCGAGAGCCAAGCGGCGCCGCTGAGGCCGATTGCTTGAGCTATGCAGAAGCTTGTTGGGAGGGTGTCTGTTGTGTACATGGTGTAATCGTACTATGTAGGTGGTGAGATGGATTGGGTCTGCAATGCTTAGAGTGGATGGGTGAGGGTGATGTGGCTTATATATGAATGCTACTGAGTATGTGGAGTCATGATGCCATCGGTGAGCTTAAATATTTGCCTAAAGGCCTAGACTTGTACATGTGTTATGGCGATTGCAGCTTCCACCTTATTACTGCGTTAGTATGCAGGATAGATAGCGAGTCAGGCCATTGCTGGTTTCTCGCCCCGCATTCTTCCTTGCATGGTTAGTGGAAAGAAGTTGACTGGTTGAACACTGTGGATGCTCGGCTTTTGACGGGTTTTGGACCGGTCGGGTGGGTTTTGGAGTCCGTGATGTTCATCATATCGATTTGTAGATGCAGCTCAGACCAATAGTCCTGGTTATAGAAACTATTGTCTACAGTGTACAATACTAGTACTTATTGTGAGGGTCCAGTATAGAAAGGGACAGTGGAGTATATAACCATCCGTTCGGTCGCACTTTCTATCTCCCCTGTGCTTTTCCCTTCGGCAACTGTTGGCACTAAACACCAAAAACTACAAAGTCAACCAAACACCACAACAAACACTACATTCACATTCACATACATACCATCAGATTAGATTCCAACACGTCGACGCGTCTTGATGAGTAGAAGTGGATTTTCGCGATGCTTCAACATCTCGACCAGCTAGAGTGTATGATTGGTCCATTGAGAAATGATGTCTCTGATATCTGTTTATCTGATCAATCCGTACGGATTACCCTCTGCCAGGAAGTGAATAGGATAAATGGGGGCAGAATTGATCCAAGGCGAATAAGTACTCCCAGGTCAGCAACCATAAGGTACTAGTAGTCAAAGAGCATCCCCAACCGCAGCACATAACACCACCAATCAACTTCTCCATGTCGATCAAATCATCGAAACAACGTGTCTACCTACTCCATAGTAATCGCCAAACACGTTTCTTGTCTCCCGCAGCATAAGCAGAGAATCCTTCTCATACAAGCCAAGTTGCGCCCGAAACTTCCAGGATCTTACTGTGTCCAAACTAGTCCCAATAGAGTAAGTACTTCGCAGGTCGTTATGTAAGCCTCACAAGGCTGACTGTCAGAACCTGGTCCTCCCAGCCATGCAATCATCCTCCTACAAACCCAAAACAAAGGAATCTGACAGTCTGACAGGATACCACAGCCTTGCCACGGAGGACCATCAGGGATTTTCTAACACCGCCTCTCTCGCTTTCGGCCAAGACTTTCCAAACGACTAATCCCCGGAACTAACTAGAAAACGAATACGGAAGACAGTCTAGCTCGGACGCTGCCCGACCGACAACATTACTACATCTGCAACCACCCATGAACAGGACGGAGAGGGAGAAAAGGACCGAACAAGGGGGTTGCGAGTGGTTGAACACCGTGACCCGGTGAAAATTGCACCCAACTCCGCTTATCTAACCAGCCAATCCAATCCTATAACCAAGTTTAATTAAGTATAGAGGAATAATAACCAACTAATCGGAAATTCGCAAATACCTCGGCAGCGATCGTATCCGTATCCGATACCCCGATTTGTTGCGGAAATCATTTCACCTCATCTTCTACCGCCGGGAGTCGCAAAGAAATTTCCCCACCGGGGGAAATTCTCAACAAATGAGATGTCCCGAACGCAAGCTGACTCTTTGGTCTAACTTAACTTGCATCTTGGTTTCCGTCCTTTTCGTTCCCTTTTTTTCCCTTCAGCCCAGTCCATGGCCCCGCCCCGCCAAGGCTATAAAAAAAGAATAAGCTTGAACGGTGAAAATAATTTCGTGTGATGAGTGGGTTTAGGCAATGTTTGAACCAGACTAGTTAGTTGGTCACACCCTCATACACACCCTCTCTGCACCCTGTAAGATGGTACGTAGAAAGTTAGTGCCTGGATCGGCGCCCCGTGCGATGGGAACGAATACGATCTATGCAGAGATAGTAGTAGACCGACAGGGCTGGGTGAGAACGGGGTGTGAGTAATAAATATGCGGACTTTTCTCATTGAAGTGATGATATTCAGGTCATTCTTTACTACTATCTTCTATACTATCCTTAACATTCCTCACTCCAACTACCACCTGTACACCAGTACTGGTAGTATACAAATACAAAATGTCCACCCAAGACAGCGACGCAGAGAGCTCCATCTCCAGCCAAACAAGGTACATACTACAAACTAACCCTCTTACATCGAAACCACCACATACATCATCAACACCATACCTAATTCTAACAAATGATCAAATAGAACAAAAACCCCCAAACACACCTTCCCCCTCGCCCACCCCCCTCCCAAATCCTCCCCCTGCCTCCGCCTCTCCCCGCGTCTCCTCCTCCAAATCCAACAACTCTCAATAACCTCAAACCGACACCGGGCCCTCCCCATCCTGGAAATCTACCAACCCCCACGACAAGGGAAATCCCTGCCAAACTGTCCACGCAAGATCCACGGCCGGGATCTCTACATCCTGCAGAGCGACGCTTACACCGACATCACCTCAACACCAAAACCACCATCATCAGAACCTACTACTAGTAGTACTACCTACCCCATCGCCGCAGGCGTAATCTACAATAACCATAACCACAACACAAACCCCAACCCCAAGAAACCCACCACCACCACGACCCCACCAACAACAACAACAACTACTAGTAATACAACAGAAGAAGACGAAATCTACCTCCCAACCACACACCAAACCTACACCGCAACGCGCACCCCACGAGGCAACTACCGCTTCATCCTCCGCGAGAAGAAAACCCCCTCGGGCGAAACCGTCATCATCGAATGGCGGCGGAAAACCCAATCCCAGACCCGGCCAAGAACCGCGTCGGGGTCGGCGGTATCGGGATCAACGGACTCCGATACAGTAACAACAACAAACGGAAACCCTTGCGAGGAGGAAGACTCCACTACTAGCAACTCCGATGCCAATGCGAATGCTAATCCCCGGTTTGTGCTTTGCGTTAGTGCCATCGGAGGGGAAAGAGCAGCTGGCGCCGATCAGCGTGTCAGACGGTCGGGGCTGGCTGGACTAGAGAAAAAGGGGCTGAGGGTTGGTGGGTGGGATGCGAAACAAGTGCGGTTTTTGGAGGAGGTGGGGATATTAGCTCCTGGGGGGGAGGAGGAGGTTATTACGTTGGTTTTGACGCTGGGGGTTTATGTTGCGTGGATGGAGGGGTGGTTGTAATACCACTTACTACCATCATTCCATCATTCCATTGTTTACGGAGTATTGAGTTCAGGGGGTATCTGTTGTTCAGTTCGTCGGAGGTGTTGGTGGGAGTGTCCGTCCGGCTTGGCTGGACCTTTTTCTATTTTTCTTGGGGAACACGGGATTTACAGAATTCTCCGCTCCGATGGTTTTCATTACTATCACTTGGAGATTGCATATTTTTCTTTTTGCATAGCGGGTCTATTATGGATATTTTTGTGATACCTGGAAATTTTCATTTTCAATAGATTGTTGAGTTGCGACATTTATTGCAGCTGCTCAACTTATTTTCACTAATTATATCTGCTTCATACCGATTTCCTTTGTCTTTGGCCTACCGCCAAGTCTCTCTAACAGTCGTAGGAAGTGACGCCAATTTCTAGTGCCTTGATCTGTAGCGCCAGCAACCGCGAGTAATACCGACAGACAGCCAGATTGCCGCCCATGAACCACAAGCCCGGGTGTCCGGTCCGCCGCCACATGCGCATTTCGCCCGTCTCGTCGAATCCCCAGACATCCTTCACCTTCTCGCCCTCTTTGCCGAACACGAGTTGTGCTTGGGTGGCCATGTTCTGATACCCTGTCGCCAAGATGATCTCGTCCGCCGGGAGCTCCGATCCGTCCGCGAACCGGAGTCCGTGAGGGAGGACCTCGGTAATCTCCTGGCCCTGCTTCACCTTCACTTTACCGTCAACGATCAATTGGCTGGCCCCAACGTCGATGTAGTAGCCTCCACCACGTTGGAGGTATTTGATGAGCAGACCCGCTCCGTCTGGACCGCGGTCTACCTTGAACCCGGCCCGCGCCAGCCCCTCCAAAGTCGCCCGGTCGTTCTCGTTTTGACGCTTGGTGACCTTGATCTGCTGAGCCTTGAACAGCTCCGCCGGTATACTCCAAAGGTAAAGGTCGGCTTCCTCGGTTCCGGGTCCTGCTTCCTCGTACAAGCCCTTGAGGCCGATCTCCACAATCGACTCCGAGGAAATCACGCAGGTTGAACTGCGCTGCACCATCGTCACGTCATATCCATTCTCATAGTAATCTTGTGCAATATCGTTGGCGGAATTGCACGCCCCAACCACGACAGCCTTTTTACCCTTCGACTCGGGCTTGGCACCGCGGAACTCGCTGCTATGGCAGATGAGGTCGCCCTGGAAGGAATCCATGCCCTTGAAGTCAGGCACATTCTTCTTTCCAGAATGGCCAGTGGCTTGGACGATATACCGGGGGTTCAAGGTGCGGTTCTCCACCGTCCCGTCCTCCTTCCGCCGCTGCAAATCAAGAGTCCACTGTTTTCCGTTGTTGTCCCATGAGGACCCCTTGATGTCGGTCTTGGTCCACACATTCAGCTCTAGCAGCTTAGCATAGCACTCAAACCATTCGGCTATCTTGTCCTTTGGTGTGAAGATCGGCCAATTCGGCGGGAACGGGATGTAGGGAAAGTGGTCAAACCAGACAGGGTCATGCAGGACCAGCTGGTGGTAGCGTTGGCGCCAGTTGTCCCCAATGTTCTCCTCTCGGTCGATGACTAGAACGTCGATACCCAGCATCTTAAGGCGAGCCGCAATGATAAGACCAGACTGGCCAGCACCTGTTCGGGGTCAGCACATCCGATAGCAACAGGTGGGTAGGTGAGTAGCGTACCGACAACCACCACAGTTGGAGACCGGTCTTTAGCTTCGATTTCGGCCGTCCGACGGTCCTTCCAGTTCTTCCGATCCAAGCTTTCGCCGTGCTGTGCTCCCACGGGTCTC